ATTATAGCTTGTATTTGTAGCACTAAATATTTAAGTTATAAAAAAATTATTTTAATAACCAAGAAAAATATAACCCCATACTAAAGATACATTTTATCTTTTTTCCTAGTCTTTTGGAAAACTTTCACCAAATAAATTAGAAAGTAAACTGGCTGCCCAATGTTACTATTGGGAGAAACCTGGTGAAGTGTATAGGAGATCTCTCCCCACTATATGTTACAATTGCACAGGAATGAAATTATACTTAACTCAAAAGCTAGGCACTGAAAATATAAAATATAGGCATCTCTCAGAGGGTTGGTATTTTTTTGGTTCAAATGTGAAGAATTTCAAAATAGAATACAGTAATGCTATACAACAAACCAAACAGTGCAGAATGCCTCAATATTACTACATATACATATTCATTGCCTAGGTAGAATAAGCTGATTGAATAATGAACGGAAACGAAGCACACTCATGAATAAAATATCCCTTGCCCTCTTTCTTGATTCAAGGTGGTATATTACTTATTTAGTGTCCTACCAAAGGTAAGGTGATGCATAGAAACACATGTATGTGAATCTGGCTTTCCTTAAATTGGATGGCACAGAACTGAAAAATCAACGTGTTTTACCTATGCCACAGGTTTGGTGCAAAGGAGAATATACTTTTCTAGGAAAAATGAAAGGGGAGGATAAGAGGTAGGACTCTCCTTTTGAAGAGAAAAGGTGTGATAGATAAAATGGAGTTCTCAGCGATAAGCAGGATGGGCATAAATGTATCTGCCCTTCTAATTCCTTTGTATCCTAGGCTAAGCGCTAGGATATTGGGTAACTCAAACTGTCTTCCAAAAGGGAGAAGAAAGTCCATAAGCAGAAAATGAAACCACATATGCTTTTATTTCACTTACTCTTCAAAATGTTATTGTCACAGCCACACATTTTGGCTGCTAAAAACTCCTTTAATAATAAATGGTTCAAAAAATAAAATAAATGGTTCACGTTTTCTCCTTAAATGTTCCTCAAGTAACCCAAATCCTTACGATAAAAGATGTCGTATCTCAGAGCAGTAGCCACTGGAGAGTTTATCTTCAAATTTTTAAATAGACCAAATTAGAGATAAAATAAGGACAAATGCCCTCCAGCTGAAGAAGACCTCTGATGTCACTGACTTAGCACAGGGTCACACATGCATTCTGTCAGCCACTCTATACTAGGAAGAGTCTATGTTTTATGAATCGTATTCCCAATAGATCTCACATTTGCTCATTTAAACTGGAAGTTAAAAACAGTTAAAACTGGGGTGCCTGGCTGGCTCAGTCAGTAGCGCATGTGACTCTTGACCTCAGGGTGGTGGGTTTATTAAGCCCCATGCTGGGGATAGAGATTACTTTAAAAAAATAAATAAATAAATAAATAAAATATTTTTAAAAAAGTTAATCACTTCTTTTCGAGGTGACATGCTTTAAAAAAAGGGGGGGGGGTGCCTGGGTGGCTCAGATGGTTAAGCACCGGCCTTCAGCTCAGGTCATGATCTCAGAGTCCTAGGATGGAACCACACATTGGGTTCCCTGTTCGCTGGGGCGCCTGCTTCTCCTTCTCCCTCTGCTGCTCCCCCTGCTTGTGCTCTCTCACTCTCTCTGTCCAATAAATAAGTAAATCTAAAAAACAAAACAAAATAAAAAAAAACCCTGCAAAATAGGGACACCTGGGTGGCTGGGTCAGTTAAGTGGCAGCATTCAGCTCAGCTTATGATCTATCTCAGGGTCCTGGGATGGAGACCTGCATCCTAGGGCTCTGCATTCAGCAGGGAGTCTGTCTCCCTTTCCCTTGGCCCCTCCCCCCCTACTGGTGCTCTTGCTCTTTATCAAATAAATAAAATCTTTCAAAAAATAAATCTGCAAAATACATTAGCATTTTAACCTCTTAAAGAACACACTGAATTAATCTCAAGTTAAACTGACATATTTCATTAAAAAGGAGGGAATTTTAAATCCTTTAATCTTAAAAGAGACAAAAACTCTAGAGTGTCTGATTAATATCCTTTTTTGCCTCACAGACACTCTCTTAAGTCTTCCCCATTTTGAGGGAATATGGTCAAAATATACTTGAAAACTTATACAGGAATTTTTCAATAGCCTCAAATGCCTTTTAGTCAGGTCAGGTTAGAAAATTAGTGGTATTCTGCTATTTTACAGTTTGGAATTTGTTTTTAAATTATTCTAGATTTTGCAGTATAAGACATTCCCGTGTTTAAACACTTTGTGTGGATAATCTTACTACAATTAGGGAAATGTCAATTAAAATAATGAAATATGTTAGGGGTTATTTGAAAGTATTAATTTTAATACACATAACCTCCAATTACAATTTTCATTTCTGGGGCACCTGGGTGGCTCTGTCGGCTAAGCAACCTGACTCTGGATTCCGGGTCAGGTCATGATCTCAGGGTCATGAGACTGAGTGCCACATTGGGCTCCATACTCAGCGGGGACTCTGCATCTCCCTCCCCCTACTTGTACTCTCTAAAAATAAGTATTTTTTAAAAATCCCTTTCTGTGAAATTGTCCACAGAAATATAAGTACTTAAAGATCAGTATGAGCTTTGTTTAGTAGAGAAAAACTTTTTTTTAAAATTAGAGGTCTAAAAATAAAGGAATTGTTAAATTCTGATGTGTTTTCACCCTTGTGACATCATGTGGAAGTTACAAGAATGAGGTGAATATATATTCCTTAGGGAAGATGTTGATGAAAAAAAAAAAAACCCCACACAAAACAAAAGGGACAAGTGAGCAGTACATGTTAAGTATGCCACATTATTCAGAAGTACACATGTATGTCTTTATTACCAAACCAGTAATAGCGACTGCTTCTAGACTTAGAGGTGTATAAAATGGGAATCTGCTTTTACTCATTATACTTTTTTTCCCCCAATTTATTTACTTGACAGAGACACAGCGAGAGAGGGAACACAAGAAGGGGAGTGGGAGAGGGAGAAGCAGGCTACCCAGGCAAGTAGCCAGATGTGGGGCTTAATCCCCATGACCTGAGAGAAAGGCAGATGCCTAATGACTGAGCCACTCAGCCACCCTTCACTATACTTCTATACTCTTAAATGGAACAATGATGACCTTAAAAACTTTAAGACTACTAGAAAATATTAACCTATAGCCAAGGGCCCAAAATGATAGGAGCTGTTAAACCATAAATGTTAGTTCCTCTTGACTTTGGGGCTTTAAGACTGGAATTCACATCTTACCATGTTAGCTGGCTATTTCTAAGGGATTCCTTCTTTTTTCTTTTCATTTCTTTTTTTTTTTTTTTTAAGATTTTATTTATTTGACAGACAGAGATCACAAGTAGGCAGAGAGGTAGGCAGAGAGAGGGGGGGAAGCAGGCTCCCAAAAGAGAACCCGATGAGGGGCTCAATCCCAGAGTCCTGGGATCATGACCTGAGCCTAAGGCAGAGGCTTTAACCTGCTGAGCCACCCAGGAACCCCCAAGGGATTCCTTCTTTTCATAGGGTCTATATTACAAGGCAGCGATGGAGTTGGATATTCAGAAAATGTATTCTTGATTGGAAAAACAGCACCAGGCACCCAGAGGATCAATGCATTTCACTCCTGACATCCTGAGGTATAACAAGGGTAATCAAAGATCTTTCTTAAACCAGAGCCCACAAGTAGCAAGTGACTGTCACAGGGTCCAGAGTAGGTGACAGACTGGGACTGGTCCAGATGCTTGACAGAGTGCTCAACATGAAAAATGATTCATGCTTCTGAGCCTTTACAAACCTTCAAAATATGGCCAACTGACGATTACTACGGCCTTCTCCCTATTCTTCCCCAGGAGAATAAAGAATATGTACAACAGCATTTATGAATGTTTTAAAAATATGTAACAAAGTAACAAATGTAATTAACAGAGGCCTCAAGCTTCACTACTACTGAGATTTTACAGTTTCTGCTCCCTTCTAGAAAACTAGATGGAGGGGGGGAAAAAAAGCTACAATGTGATATAGTAACTGTGGTGACTGGATAGATTACTTCCAGATTACTCATCAAAAAACCTCACTTGCATATTGGTGGATGTACTCAAAACATGTAGTCAAAATAGTTGGGGTAGGAAAAATAAGGCCTGGTGTAATTTTTAAAATTTTGAGCAATACTGCTTGCACCAAAGTAAAATTGTGTTTTAATAAAAATGCATCTTAATAAAGTTTGAATTTTAACAAAATAAAGTAAGTTTTTATTTTAATAATGAACCAGTCACTGGCTAAACAGATCTTTTTGAAAAGCAAATTTGAAAATGAGGGCATTCTACATCCAAGTTAGAATTATAAGCAATCAGACCTAGAAGGGACTTCCAAAAATTTGGCCAATCTCCTCATTTTGTAAGAACCAGAAAGGTTAAGTGACTTGTCCCAGTTAGACTACGAGCTCAGAGTAAATCTCAGGTCTCCCAACTTTCAGACCAACAGCTTTCTCTCCATCATACCTATTGCTTTCCAGGATTGAGCACAACCAGAAAGAATAAATCAGATTGAAAATATGTTGATTCTAACAAAGTACTGAATAATCTCATCTTGGACATGTTAGAACTGATTTGGGGGGGAAGCATGGAAGTTCTATAAAATTTAAAACAGTATTTATTATGGGTAAACATGTGAATTGATGCAACTTTTAGACTATAATGGCTCTTATGGATTTTCCTGTTTTATAATCTGTTCACAGGATATTGCTACGCTGTTACGATGCCTACTTATGGCCCTGTGACAGGAGAAGGAAAAAAAGAAAGTTGTATACATATGTAACCTAAGAGATTCTGCTGTCCAGATATGGTTAAAAAACAAACTTATTTTGGTCCTGAAACAGCCTTCTTGGTCAGAGAGGTAGGACAGAAGCAAGATTGCCATCCGAATCTTCAGTGGCAGACAGTATTCTTTTGTGAGCTCAGGTACTGCCTATCAAAGGAGTCCTTTGTTTCTGTTCCTCATTTCCACTTCCATCAGAGCCTTACCTGGGATAGTACGCAGTGTAGTTCATGAAGAGCTGAGTGCCCGCTGGGTAGTAGGCTGTAGTGGGCTGCAGTGCTCGTGGATTCAAAAGCACAGAGGGCTGATAAATGGCAGCTTCGGTAGGAATTACTGCTGCAGGAGCTGGAAATGTGTAGGAGGGAGGAGACAGGCCTAAATAAGCAAAGAGAGAGACTTTGAGATATACTGTTCCCAAAGGACAATTTTTGCTAGCTCTCAAGTCATGACGTCACAGCTCCACACATACATACATTTTAAAAAGACACCAGTTCTTTATCATCCCAAACAACTTCTCTTTATTGTCTATAATTAGTATTTTCTGAAATTTTTGTAACAATGTGAAATTTCTCAAATGTAATCTTAAAAGTTTGAAGACAATTTTTTTTAATAGTGGGTAATTTTTTGGTGAATTTTCGATTGATCAATCATTGAATCCTAATCTTCCATATGATATTTGATTAAAATTTCCAAGCAACTTCCTTTGATTATATAGATTAACACCTAAATATAATCTCAAAACCTGAAGACCTAGAAATTGGGGAAAAAAACATTTTTGTGACATGTGTTTTTTTGTTTTCTACTCCTAAGTGCCAGTTACCATAAACTAACCCTTTGAGGAAAGAAACACAGGACTGACATTTAGTATAACTTCACACTAAAAGCTGGGTGGTTTGTTGCTTTTTTGAGAGCTATGCTTCTCTTTCACCTTGTTATCTACTCTGTAGTACAATGTAAGATGAAAATGGTAAGGATAAAAATGATTTCACGAGTTCTATGCCAAAGCATAGATGGGTGCCAGAGTGAACTGACCTAAGAGTAGATTAACTCTGCATTATTTCCACCTAAATGAACCCTAGAAGATGGGCTCTGAAGCTTAGCTCCATCTTTGGACCTGTTCTGAGAAACAAAAGCCAAAAAAACCCCACTACCCAGCCTGAAAAATAACTAAAGAAAAACATGCTCAAGCCTTCCTGAAAGTCGGCTGATAAAAAGCTGACTGCGGTTGAAGAGAAAACAGAAAGGATGAAATTCTATTATCTTCTAGTTATTCAACATCTTCCAGGCCCCATAACTCTTTAAGTCATACTAGTTACTGCTCAATAGCTATAACACATGGGATGAACACAACTTTCCAGGCCATCTGCGTTCAACAGAACAGAACAGATAACAGAATGGTTGCCTGAATTTAGAATTCTTCAATTTTTTTTTTTAAAGATTTTATTTATTTATTTTACAGACAGAGATTACAAGTAGGCAGAGAGGCAGTCAGAGAGAGGGGGAAGCAGGCTCCCCGCCAAGCAGAGAGCCCGATGTGGGGCTTGATCCCAGGACCCTGGGATCATGACCTGAGCCAAAGGCAGAGGCTTTAACCCACTGAGCCACCCAGGCGCCCCGAATTCTTCAATTTTTTTACCTAGAACTATCTAATATATTTTGCAAATAGCAGAGGCCCAAGGGATACCTTTTCATAGGAAAATCTCTACTGTCTCGTGTGTTTCTTAGGAGTTTCTACATATGTATGGAGATGAGTGAGAGAGTCTGCTGCACAGGGCTACATAAACCAAAGACCAACACAGCAATCTCATATTCAACTTTTAGGTTATCTCCTTCATAATTCACCAAATTCACCAAAAACTGTGCTGCATGTTTGATACTTAATGCAGATAAGTTTTAAAATGAAAATTCCTGAGCTTAAAGACTCCACAAAAGGGCAAGCAGAGCAAACTGAGGCACCTAAGTCATACAGAAAATTATAAAGCCTATGCCTGTACCTTGCTTTTAAAACTATCAAGTAATTTGTTACAGGACAATATAAAGAAAGGTTGAAATTTTTGATAATAGATTAGGCTGCCCACGTTTGGATACTCCTCAAATGAAAGGACAGCTATTCTTATACTCTTAAAGAATCAGATGTATATATTTGTGGATTACTTTAGAAAAGTAGAGTTTACCTTCAAATGTTCAACTTTTTGAAAAAGTTAAAATTTCAATAAACAAAGTTTAAAACTTTTAAAAACACTGAGACTACAGCAGCATTTCTTTCCCAGATTTAATAAGAAACTCCTCAGGGGGGATTAAGTTATCGCTCTTTTAACTTTTTTAGTTGTTGAGAGTAGATTAAATATGCAATTTCTCTAAGTTTTTTGGTTGCTGTAAAAATGGGAAATCACCTCAAGTGAGTTCATAGGTTAAAAAAAAAAAAAAGTCCAGTTAAATACACATAATATTAACATGTGTCAACTGGAATTCTGACTTTTTTTTAAATGAGTGAATTCTTCTGCTAAAATAGCAAGCAGTCAATTTTGGTTAAGATTTTTGGGGGATATTAAAATACATGGACATCTATTTTTGTGTGGAAAAGCATTTTAAGTTTTTTCTATTACCTTAGGGTTTGTGAGAGGAAAGGGGAAAAAAATGAAAGTCTTGTGAAGAAAGTCTGTAATGATCAGTTTTCACCAGGAAGAGACAGAGGTAAAAGAATACCATAGCAGAATAATTTAGCTTACACAGCATGAAGAAATTCCCTTTTCTCACAATGCTTGATAAGATTATCACTCAAGGGAATCATAAATGTTACTGATATTATCAGTTGTTTATGGACAGAATACATAGGACTAAGATCACTCTAAGACACCACTTAAACCCAATCATAAGTTTCCAGAACTTGACATTCATTAGTCATAAACTCTTAGATATTCACCAACAGCAAGCAGCAGATGAATGGAATTATTAGCACCTAGGAAGTCCAAGGGGAAAAAAAAAGGATTAAGCCCCACTGAATGTTCTATATGAAAAATACTTTATCAAATAGTTTTATTGCTATAGATCCCTCTTTACAGAAAGTGATGTCCTAACACACTCCATTTTATTGGGATCAAATACATAATCCAGTTAGCTTTCTCCATTATCTTTGGACTATATCCCAAGTGCTACATTCTTTAAACATACCCAGCATTGCTCCTAACAAGGTATGTCTTACTCAAAAGTGAAAATTGTGTCAAAAAGATTCAAGTTTTAACATCAGATCCACAAATGTTCCTTAGTCACAAACCACAACATGGTGTCCAGACTAAAGGGCTTATTCCTCTCACACAGGATTCCAGATGGCTTGCACCCAGGTGCCAGTGAGCAAGAGCATGGCTTGAAATTAAGCACTGATCCTGCGATCCAATGGAAACTTTGGCTAATTTATTTACGCATTTGTATTTTATTACTAACTAGCTCTTTCAAGATATCCTGGAGAACAAAAGAAGTGCTCCCCAGATTGTCCTCTCCAAAGAAATACTTAATGCTCAAAAAATTAAAAATGCAAAATGGATAGCAAACCACCCTTCCAAAAAAAAAAAAAAAAAAAAAAAAAAAAAAAAAAAAACCCACCCCAAAAAAAAAAAAAAAAAAAAAAGTAAAAGAAAAATGATCTAGCCATACTTATTTTACCTTTAAATGCGTATTAAAATATCTACATAGCCAGGTTGCCTCCCAGAGTCAGTGCTTATCTTGAGCACACTAAGCTTCAGAAATCAAGTGCTTATCACTGGAAAAGCAAGAATATAATTTGAAAGGAGGTATTCGTAGCATCTCTAATTATGGGTGTCCACAACCAAGGTCTTAAATGATTACCAGATACTACCGATTTCAGATGGGAAAGCCTTATATAACCCCTCACCTGCCTGAGAAAGAACCAGGGGCACAGAAAGTTATGAAAGCAGCTTAAGCACCTACCAGCATACAGCGTAGAAGAGCGCCAAGACCCAAGAAAAACTTACATGGTAACTTACATGGCGGTGGGGATAAGCCATTTCGATTTAAAGTGCCCCCCATTAACACAAAGTTCATCTCCTCAGCTGAACACTGAAAGACTTCAACATATCTGTCCTTCATGGTTTTTTTATGACACTTCTGTGCAGCCATAAATGCTCTGTCCGCAGACTTCATCTGGATAAAGGCATCTCCTGATGGGCGGCCCTGAGCGTGTGGGGGAAGAATAAAAACAAAAGGAGACTGTCTCCTTCAACAAGGAAATGGTTGCTTACAAAACATGCAAAGTGACAATCACCCACAGTACAGACATTTTAGCCACAAAATCTGGGTGACAAGTGTAGTCTACGGATATCTAACTTGCATTTTATCACCTAATCACCAGAACCGCCCACAAAACTCTGGAGAGAGTTTTGAGAGCTCATAGCTGAAAACAATCCTTTCTCATTTCTGCTAATTAGTATCAGATTTACAGGGTTTTGAAAGGGTCTCCTTAGAACTGGTTTCAAAGTATAGGACTGTAGATTGGGTTTTGACCTTCTGAAAAATCCAATTAAATTTTATTTGATTGACAAGTAGGAACACCAGGATAAGAGTTTTATGTATGCTCCTACATGAAGCTGAATAAACCAGTGTTCTGTGTTGGCTCTCAGCTGTCCATCACTGACCTATAAGATCCCTTTCCCTTCTCCCTAAAGCCTAGATTGGAATGTGGGTGTAGGAACAGAGAAGAGGGAGAAGGAAATGGGAACTGCAAAGCACAGTGAGGGTAGGTGAAAGCTGTATCATCAGCCTTGCTTAGGAGTCCTCCTCTCACCTCTTCCCTGGCACCTCCACCTTAAACCTTGGCCAGACAGGTGTTTATAGACATTTCCTCTATTACTAATTGCTTGCTAAAAATCCTGTTTAAAACCAAGCTGACAGACCTCTGTTTCACAGAATCAGAACATGTTGGTTTTCTTTAACATGGACATTTTATGGGGGAGAAAAAGACATGATCAGCTTTTAAGACTCCTTTCCTTTTTTTATGGATTTCTTTAAAAGTCTCTAAGGGACTATTTTGTGCAAATTATAACCATGCAAGTTACCATAAGAGTTACCATACCAGGGAAATCAGGGATACCAGGGAAACCCAATCCAAGATGGAAACCTAACATCTTCAAGGTAGCTAAAAGCTCGTCCATCATTCAAGAAGTATTTCTCCCAAATGCAATCACAATAGGTCACGTGGGTCAATAACAGGCAAATATGTCCACTGTGGTTAATCAAAGAACAAAAATAGCCCCTAGATTATTAGAAATGGTGCTCAAAGAGAAACCAAACAATTTCCTGGCAATGCTGAATTGTAGGGAAGTTTTATTCAAAAGGACTCCCACCAGTGAAGCATGCTGAGAGGGTACATAGATTAAAAGTTGCAGAGTTTAATACTGACATGAGAGTTAGAACGAGCATGTGCTGGTGTGGAAAACCAAGCCAGGGACTCAGGAGGTTTGCTGGTTCCTCATACCCAGACTAGTAATTTAGAAAAATGTTGGTATTTTCAATACACACCTATATCTAACCCATAACGCTCAGAGAAAACTTTTAAAAATTAATGCAACCTTGCTTTTAAGAGTTCCAAAATTTTAATTGGACTCACTGTGGTTTACAGGTTTTTAAAAATTCTTGTCCGCTCACCACAGCATACAATGCTGGTGACTTATTTAGCAAGTAATAGGATTGATTTCATTTAACCAAAAATCAGGAGACACCAAGACAGAGCTACTTTTTATACGCTTAGAATACATACTTGTATACCATTAGAATTTGGTTCTCCCTTGATGGAGGCTTCCCAACAATTCATTAACACGTTCGAGCATCTGTTATGATCACCTACTGTTTCAGGTGGTACAGATACAAATCCTAACTAAGTCTGTACTCTACTAAATATCACTTAATGTCATATATATAATATAAGCGAGTTCTAACCAATCTATAAGTAAAAAAGACTCTGGACCACAGACACGCTCTTTGGTTTATATATGGTCTAAAATCACTTTCAAGCTACAACAGCAAAGCTCAGTGGGTGCAACAGTAAAAATGTCGTATTAGACAGATAATGTGTTTGTATCGTTCCTGAGACTACAGAGAACCTGGTGGATACAAGTGATGGTGCAATCAGAGCTGAATTTAAATTATCACGCCGATGATAGCACTCTTTTCTTTCAGCATTCATCTGAAAGACCTCAGGCATCTACAGTTAAAGCTTTCCTTTAAGGAAAGGTATTCCTTAGGATACCACTGACAAATATCTGTACATTTTTTTTCTCCTTTTTAAACTGGAAGAGGGCCTTTGCCCCTCAGAACAAGCAAATCAGTTTTCTAGTAAATTACTCCTTACCTGGTGATTCAATACCATGTGAACCCCATGAGTTCGAATATCTGTGGAAAACTCCCCCAGAAAGTCCAGGATGTCCTCAATTGTGGCCGCATAGGGAAGACCTCGAAGGCGTATACAGTCTCTAACATTTGTAGGGGGCACAAATTGCTGAGGTAGTACTGGAATAATGGGAGGGGTTGGAAGTGGAATAAGAGGGGCCGAGGAGAACCGATTCAGGACCTGCACTCGAAGGAAAAGAGAAGTGATTTAGAGCCCTGCTCCTCCGAAGCAATCTGCAAACCAGAACACAGCACTGTGGAGCTTGTTAGACATGCAATGTCTCAGTTCTGACCCAGACCTAGGAAACGTGAACCTGCATTTTAACAAGAGCCCCAGGTAATTCATAAGCATATTCAAGCTTGAGACGCTCCTATGGGGAAAGGGTTTCCTACTGTTCAGTGGGGGAAGGAGACCCCCCGCTTTTGTCAACTGCAGCCTGAGGCACATGCCACACACAATACAATGAGCTCCGATCAAGGACTGGTCTACTGGACAAGCATCTCACGGTCTCAGGACAAATATCCTGAGAAGTATGCTGCTTGTGTAACCCTCCAGACATATGGCTAAATGTGAACTTTTGTAGCAATCTATTAGATTTCATCTCAAGAAGCACGGTGTTTCCCCTGAATATTGTTATCACATTCTACCTCCAAACCCAAGCAAGAGAATGACACTGTAAAGGAACCACAGGTCAAACAGTGACTCTGGATTATACTAGAATACAATGCTACATTTATAACAATGTATAAAGCCCAAGACTGAATGGTTGGTAATGTAAGAATGAAAAAAACTATTTGGTGACCACAGAATAATCAGTCTTGATGTGAATTTGAGATAGTGGAAAGACAGAGCAATTTGACTGTTTTGTTTTGTTTTGTTTTGTTTTTTAAAGTCCTGGAATTCCACTATCTTGAAAATGAGAGGTTCGGTATACTTAGGAGAAAAGATTACTCCCAGGCAAAACTCTATTATAAATTTCTGGTCTATTTTTATAAAAAAAAAATTGAAAAAATTATAAAGGGGCACCTGGGTGGCTCAACTGGTTAAGTGTCTGCCTTTGGCTCAGGTCATGATCCCAGAGTCCTGGGATTGAGCCCTACATAGGGGATGAGGGAGGGCTCTCCTTCTCCCTCTTCCTTTGCGCCCCCCCCCCCGCCCTCATTCATACTCATTCTTTCTCTCAAATAAATCTTTAAAAAATATATATAAGGTTCCGGTCTACTTTTGCCGTAGTGTAGAACATACCTACCAGTTTATACTACTAGGAGGTCCTTGTGCAAACAGCATGTATGACAACCCTAAGTTTTCTGAACTTACTTCTGTAACCTTAATCATGCCATAAACTGAAAATACAGAATCAAAACCCTGCCCCCAAACTGCCCTAATTTCCTCACTCCCACCCTGTTCAGTTGCTAAGTAAGAGGTAACAGAAATCAAAGAACAAATATAACACAGCCAAAGAAACCTAAGAGACAGCAAGATTTTTTTTTTAAAATTATATAAATAATCCAGACACAGCACAAACATTATGGAATGAACATGGAACGGAAAATAAGTGTTGCTATAGACAAACAGCACAGAAATGGTCAAGCACCTTCCAATACCTGCCAAATAGGATATGAGCAGGAGTTATAGAATGAAATGATTATTAGGAACAAAAAGATGACAGTGTAGAGCATGTGATTCAGCATTTCTTAAATAAATCAGTAGGATGGGGGCTGGAATGGGAGTTCATCTATCACCCAAACCTCACTGCGGTGAAGTCACATAGCGGCAGCATATGCTATACCTAAACCAAATCAAAACACAGTAGCCAAGGCCCTCAAGTAGTCTGTTCTGGGCCAAGTCTCCATAAAACTGTTCTTCCAGTTAAAGATCTAAGATTTTATTTTCCTCTCCTCTGGTTTGGCACTGATGTGTTTAATGTTTGAAGCCTCAAGCATGTTTAGCATATTTTAGAAATTCAGAATTTATGATACTCATTTTTTTAAAGATTTTATTTATTTCAGAGAGAGAGAATGAGAGAGAAAGCATGAGAGGGGAGAGGGTCAGAGGGAGAAGCAGACTCTCCACTGAGCAGGGTACCTGATGTGGGACTCTATCCCGGGACTCCAGGATCATGACCTGAGCCGAAGGCAGTCATCCAACCAACTCAGCCACCCAGATACCCATATGATACTCATTTTCAACAAGGTACAGAATTGTTTAAATTCTAGTTAATGTTACGTACATTCACAGTTTAGGGTTCAAGAGCACTAGTACATCAGGATGCAGAACTAGCTTAAAATGTCATGTATGTTTATTCAAGGTATAAAAATCATGTCGGTATCCTACCAGGTGAGAGATTCTTTTCAACTCTGAGCAATTGTTTCAAATCACAATACACAATGAGCTTTGCAGAAAGAAGATAAACAAAATCATTTTATGAACTCATAGGAATGATAGTCAAGTCAGTGTCCTAAACTGCTTTTAAAAAATGAAATGTATCATTAAAGTTGCTCTATTCTACTAGGGGACCCAAACAGATTAAGCTGGAAGAGCCACATGTGAAGCAGACTGCATGATTTCAGATACAAAAGAAAAATGTAGAACCTTAAAGGCCCTTCAGCTGGTAAGTCAAGAATAGCCAAAAGGCTTGAAACCCTACAGATGGCTTTATGTCTGGATCATTTTGGGCCAACTGATTGTCCCACCTGTGCCTCAAAAACATTTCTGAATTCTGAGAGAGTAACAGGACAAAAGGACACTTTATACCATTACCAGCAGTATAGAACTGATCAGGCCTTTTGGGAAATAACTTTGCTAAGATATCAAAAACCTTAAAAGCTCACTCCATCCAGTTCTAAAGACTCAATCAGAAATTGAGAGTTTCATAAGCATGTTTATCTAGAAATTTCTTATAGATGAAAAAAGGCCAATTTAAATGTATAATAGAATTTCTCAGTAAATTATGTACGTAACATTAAAAATGAAATTTTTTAGACATGGTTAAACTTGCAAGATACATTGTTTTAAAAAAATATAAAATGTATCTATAGTAACAGCCTAATTACATAAAAACAAACACATTTTCTCTGGATGCATAGAAAATAACAGTGGCTATCTTCTAATCATAGAATGAATTTTTTCTAAATGCACCTATACTTTCTGTATTCTTTAACACCATAATGTAGGGTTGTTCTTGGAAATAAACAGAAAATCACCCAGAGCCACCAAAATGCGCTTAAAAACCAACCTGCTGTACTTCAGCTGCTGTGCTCCTGAAGAGTTCAATGTATCTTTTACCCAACAAGTCCTTATGCTTCCTCAATGCATTCTGTGCATATTCTTCACAGGCAAAGAGGACAAAAGCATCCCCTGTTGGCCTACCATCTGGGTAAGTAACAAAGAGGATGCCTTCCTTCCCCCCAGTAATGGGGCAATGCTGTCCAAAGAAGGCCACCACTTCATCTGCTGTGGCTGTGAAAGGGAGCCCCCGCATGCGGACAATGACTTGATTTTCCTTGGAGAGAAACTGGGCTACCTCATTGGATGTACCTAGGGAACACAAATACCAGGAAGCATGGGGAGAAATGGTTAAGACATCAACTTCACCCAGCATAAAATGGTAAAATTCTTGGCAATGTCTTGAGTTTATCATTAAAACTCATACTCCCACTGAATTCACGAAAACATTCCAGGAATCAGATTTCTCTCCACACAAATTCGAACCCCGGCCCCCCATAATTTCATAAAACACCTAACTTGGGAAGGTGGCCAGACAATTAAATCATGGACCAATCACTGTACTCTTATTATGGAGAGGCAGTAAATCACCATGCTAGGTAAGAGCACAGGTCAAGGACCGAGAATGCCTGGGTCCAATCTTGACTTTGCCATTTACTAGGCTATGACTTTAGTCAAGTTTAACCTCTATATTTTAGTGTCCTCATCTGTAAAATGGGAGTAAAACTACCTACCTCATAGATTTATGATAAGTTACTACACACAAAGCACTTTGGCAATTTATTATTTTCCTGATTACTTTTTATTAAGAAAGTTTCAAACGTAAGGGGAGTATAATGAACACGGCAGCCAGTTTTGAGATTCATTACCATTCTATCATCAAGCATTTTGTATAATATTGCCACGTAGCAAATATTCAGAAGCATATCCTTCAAGCTCATATACTCAACATTTTCCTTTATTATTTTTAAGTAGCTTTATCGCTAACATGGGGCTTGAACTCACAAACCCTAGATCAAGAGTTGCATGTTTTACCTACTGAGCCAGCCAGATGCCCCTGTAACATTTTCCTTCAAGAAGCAAACTCTCATACTACCCACATACTATGAAATCCCAGGATTAATGCAGGAGTTGACTTTGCCATCTATCATGGAACCTCAGAACCACAGCAACTCCAAATATATTTCATCCCCAACCAATATCAAACATCACTTTATGATTTTGGAAGCAATCTTGAAGCTGTAAAAATTTGGAAGCCTTCATATCTAACGAATTAAGTGTCAAAACGGAAATATACCAGCAAATTGTGCAAACAAGATGTTTTTGCTACAAATTCAACAGTTCCAGGGATTTTAACCAGGGCTATGTATTACCAAGATACAAATGTTCTCTACAGTGAAGGTGAAAGTCACCCTAGCATATATTTGGCAATAGTATATTTTCAAAAGTCTCTTAGAAGGTCTACCTGCATTCTTAGATTTAGCTATCCTAATTTTAGAGTTATCTTAATGAGTGGCACTTACAGAAATACAAGAATATTCACTGCAACATATTTAGGGTGAAAAATTGGAAATGAGTTATAAATGTCCAACAGGGTGTTTAAAAAATGTATGAGACATAATACTGTATATTAATTAACATTTAAGAAAATTTGGTTACATGGGAAAATATTCATAATATACTAAAAAGCTGTATAACAGCAATAGAAACTTACAAGATAGTTTTATGTGTACAAAAAAAACCTTTCAAACCATAATCAACATTTATTATGCATCTGTTCCTTATAGGTTTTAAAGTAACAAATCACTCAATAATGAGATAAAAACAGTATCTGGTCCCATTTTTTTCTGACCTTATTACTGCAAACACTATGTACTCAAATATGTTAGAGCCAGAAAACTACTGTGTTCCTGGCCATTGAATGAGGAGTTACAGAAGCTTGAGAGAAAACCTACAAGCACATAGCCAACAATTCCAAGTACGCTGGTGAGGCTGTTTGAAAGTAGTTTTCAGACAATTTAACTTCTTTCAAGAACTACTCTCTCCCATTGTACATGATTTTAAAGGACCCTTTCACCTTTGTACGGTTATATATATATATATATATATATATATATATATATATATATACATACACACACACACACACACACACATATGTATAGATATACATACTTTTTTTTTTTAATTAAAAAGTCAACTCCTATGTTTCTTTAGGTAATAAAAATTATTCACACCCTACTTATCTACCCTGGTATATAAATACATTTCAGATTCTTCTTAAGCTGCATTATATAAAAAGCACTCACCACCAGCAATTTTAAGAAAATCTTCACCTGTTGCTTTGTAAACCTAAGAAAAGAAAGAGAAAGTAAGTACAGTTTCTGAGCCTTCCAACATGAATACTCATTCAAGATGTCAAGGATCTCAGGGTGTGAGGACATACCTCAATGTACCGGGTCCCCATGTGATGTTTGTGCCTCTGTAATGCTAGATCCCTGTGTTCCTCGCTTACAAACCTAACCAGAGCTTCTCCATTCCTTCGACCCTGGGCATTCAGACAAAGTGCTGCACCTCCCCTTTGAAAAGGACAGATAGCAGTGGGGGAAAAAAAGTACAGTGAGGAAAAATGATAGGACACCCATTATCCCTTTGGGATTACTAAGTAAAATAGAGATTAAAGAAAACCAACTTGGCAATGTTGAGTCCTTTGAAGAATCTTGCAATATCTTGATCTGAAGACTGCCATGGTAAACCCCGCGCACGGACTATGGTGTTGTCATCAATAAGCTCCATCTTGCTGCTGTGGGTCAAGCAAAACTTCATGTTGCCTCATTAGCCTTAGAGGATCTGACCTATTCCAAGCTACCACTTTCCTAGTTACATATAAGGTATCATTTGGTATCCAGACAGACTTGTAATACTGCCTGATTTATTTCATAATCTCAAAGATTACCTAGGCACAGTTCAAATTATTCTTTAGGTAGTTCACTATAGAAAGCCAAGCTGAGGTCACTCAGCAAACCATCCATCAGCTGAGCTGCTGCTTGCTGGGCATACACTCAAAAGGACCCAGGATCAGCTCATAGGAGGCAAAGTTCTCCCAATACCCTGACGGCCAGTAAATTCCCAGAACTAAGAAGGAAAGGTTTATATTTATTCTCAGATCTGGCCAGTATACCAGTGGAATTGAAATCCAGTTTGACAGCAAAACTTAAGATATGCATAAAGCTGGCAATTAACCCATGTCAGGAATATATGCATGCAGTCAGGACTCTGCCATTAAAATATCTTCCCTATCAAACAGGGGAGCCATCACAGAGTGTTTATGGAAATTCACAGGAGTTCCCACACCTTAATGAGTCACTTGCAAATCACCTAGTATATATTTTGACGTCATTATATATTTATATTAATATTTATATAACATATTATTTATATTTAATATTATATATTTTGATGTTCTGTTCCTCCCATATTCTTATTTCCAGAAGTCCTAGGACACTTCCTAAATGAATCACTTTCTCCCCAACTAAACAGATCCAAAGTCTCTCTATGGGCAATGAAGTCAGAAGTTTCTGCTCACTTCAGGCAGTCTCAGGAATTCACTGCAGTGATTACAAGCAAACAGGTCTACCTGTGATCACAGAGATACCACCATTTCATACTTCTTACCACTTATTTCCTTTGCTTTAAAGTAGAAGCTGACAGAACATACTTTAAATTATCTTAGTAAAAATCTTGTGAACTCTTAAAGCCTACGATTTTTCCTTTGTAAGTTTTCCTGTGAGAGGATGAATAGTTCAGAGAGGCGAAAATAAGCAGACAGGATGCCTAAGGGTCATAGTGACTGAAGGTGCAAGTATTAAGTTTCATTAAGTTTAACCCCCAACATCCAAGCTCACTTTAAGATATAACCTTCTTTTATAAATAACCTAATATTTAAACAATGGATAGCCAAAAGGTTTAGTGAAGTTATTGAAATACAAAGGGAGTTAAGTATCACAATATGAATAAAACAAAAGACTCAAATGGAATACCACTCTATAACTTACCAAGTGCCACTTTCAAATTTGTAATTTACTCTCTCTGGATCTGAAAACCTGTGATCTAAAAATGAGAACACAGAAGTCATCATTTTAGCTATTAGGGAGAGAAAGCTGTGGGAGGACATTCAAAAGTGTGTATGAGGTAAACACGGCAAGACCAAATTCTAGGTCCACAACTGTTACAACAGCAATACTTACTATAAGGCTCAGAAATCATTGCTAGAATTATATTCCCCATATCTTCAACTTGAGAGGCTCCATACCGGGAGACTGAACTAGTCTTCTCAAAGTTTAAGCCTGGGATATTAAGTTAAGGAAACATTTTGAGGAAGTAAAAGGAGGTACTTCTAGCCCAAGATTAAACTCACACAGAGCCAACAAGCCAGGTAAAATGCATCTAAGGTTGCAAATTATTTAAAATCACAGAATAGTTGCTTCCTGTCACTCTGGACTTCACCCATACTTCCTGGAGTCTCCAATTACCCTCTTGGGTAAATATATAGTAAAATGGCCCAAACAATTCTGTCCTGAGGCACTATCAATAATAAAATTTATTGAGCAGTAGCAAATGCATGACTACTAAACACTTTCATTTAGTGTCAAACCATGAAGTATACACCAGAATTAGTAAATTCCTTCACCCTATTACCTTTACAGCATATGCAAGGCAATGAATGTGTGGACTGAAAGACATATAGTCAAGACCATGAGGTAGCTATCAAATGGCTTTTTTAGGCTGTTTGAAAAAAGACACTTCATATTACTGATGACACTATTTCTACGATGCCACTTTTAGGGGGAACTTCCCTACTAGATTTTTGGAGCCCCTGTAGTATAGCTGTCTTAGATGGCAGCAAATGCTTGTCCTTTAAGAGTCAATTTGTAGAAACAATTCAAATGCTCAGAGCTAACAATGGCCAATATGGCTCTGGATCAAGTGAATATATGCTTTGGGTAAGCCAGGAAACAGGGCTTTTAAGAAATAGTGCCTTATGGGGCACCTGGGTGGCTCAGTGGGTTAAAGCCTCTGCCTTCAGCTCAGGTCAGGATCCCAGGGTCCTGGGATCAAGCCCCACATCGGGCTCTCTGCTCAGCGGGGAGCCTGCTTCCCCCCTTCTTTCTCTGCCTCTCTGCCTAATTGTGATCTCTGTCAAATAAATAAATAAAATCTTTAAAAAAGAAAGAAAGAAAGAAAGAAAGAATGAAATAGTGCCTTAAACTGTGATACAGGGTGAGACCAGAAAAGATTTCCATCAAGTTTTACAGATTTACCAGCTTTTTTTTTTTAAAAGATTTTATTTATTTATTTGACAGACAGAGATCACAAAATAGGCAGAGAGGCAGGCAGAGAGAGAGGAGGAAGCAGGCTCCCCACTGAGCAGAGAGCCCGATGTAGGGCTCGATCCTAGGACCCTGGGATCATGACCTGAGCCGAAGGCAGAGGCTTTAACCCTTTGAGCCACCCAGGCACCCCATTTACCATCTTTCTAAAATAAACTTTTATCTTTGCCAAGAAGTTAACAGCTACTACAATGGTTAATTTTGTTATTTTTAAGTTTCAATACTATAGTCACACTAGGTATTATGCATAAATTTGCGCAGATTTCATAATGCAGTGTGATGCGTATAATAGATAACACTACGCTACTCTGTCTTTTCTGGAGCTTAAAATGAAAACAGCCATCTGCTGGGTGGTTATTAGAATGTTTGCCTTTAGTTTTCTAACTGGTATTTTGTAATAAGGGTGAAAAATGAAGACAGACATTAAGTTCAAAGCACTACTTCACTGCAATCAAAGAGGATACAATGTTAAAACAGTTCAGAGAGCTCCGTCCACAAAGTATCAAAACCAATCATCTGAAGAGCTAATTCAATGAGCAATATCCTTCTCCATTCAATCCAAAATCCCATTTCATTCCTACACACCCTCCCCTCCCCCTTCTTTCTCCACTAAGGAGATACTGTTTCTCACTATGCTGGACAATTTCACTTCCTGCTGTCCCTCACCCAGCTACATTTCTCAGCCCTTAAACATACCACATGTAGAAATGCAGCCATATGTTCCTTGGCAAATTACTCAACCCCACTGAACTTCAGCTTATCTGAAAAGCCAAAGCTGTGATAATCTCTGCCTCCCTGGGCATTTTTGTGAAGATTAAAGGAGATAAAACAAGTCCAGGGCACAAAGCAGGCATTATAAAAAGTGATGTCCTCCCCTTCTTCCTAGAGCCCTGGGGTGGCCAACTTTCATAACCCACACACTTTGAGGGTCATTCACCACATGCTAATTTGTATACGAACAGGATAATAATCAAGCTGAAATGATAGATAATTTCTGCACTTCCCCACCCCCCAGTCCAACCCTTTACATCATCTAGTGATGAAATAAATGCCCTGCCCACTGAGAGATTAGAGAAACAATCCCAGGAGATGCTCAAGCAACAAGAGCAATGATTATTGGGGGGGCATTGCTGGCTCAGTCAGTAGAGCATGTGATTTGATCTCAGGGTTATAAGTTCAAGTCTTACAGTGGGTGTAGAGATTACTCAAAAAATAGTCTTAGGGGTGCCTGGGTGGCTCAGTCAGTTAAGCATCTGCCTTCAGGTCATGATCTCAGTGTCCTGGGATGGAGCCCCGCATAAATCTTAAAAAAAAAAAAAAAAAAAGTCTTAAAAAAAATAAATAAAATGAAATGATTATCCATGGAAAGTACACAATAAAGTATTAATCGAGTGGGGGTTTTTTTTAATCTTTTTTTTTAAGATTTTATTTATTTATTTGACAGACAGAGATCACAAGTAGGCAGATAGGCAGGCAGAGAGAGAGAAAGGGAAGCAGGCTCCCTGCCCGGCAGAGAGCGTGGGCCTCAAGGCTTGATCCCAGGACTCTGGGATCATGACCTGAGCTGAAGGCAGAGACCTTAACCCACTGAGCCACCCAGGCGTCCCTTGAGTGTTGTTTTCAAGGAATATGATGACAGGACAGAAAAACAAGAGTCAAATGATGAAAATACTGTGGGAAGACAACTGCCCTAAATTTTCTGGGAAGGCAGAGGTGGAGGTGGGAGGACTTTAAGAATCCTTACAGAACTAAAAAGGATTAGCTATGACTAGCCATAGTTTATCACACAAACTCTGCCAGTAAACAGTCCTCTGGAACGCTGCAATTCTAATAATGCCTTTAGCCTTGTCAGGGGCTAGGTACAATGGAGTCAAGAGAAAGGCATTCAAGAAATGGAGACCAATCCCATTGTATAAATCACTGTTTTTCAACCTTGCCACTACTGACCAATAGGCCAGATAATTCTTTGTTGAGGGTGAGGATGGGAGTGGTAGTCCTGAGTACTATAGGATTTTTACTAGCATACTGGCCTCTATCCACCTCAGTTCTGACTTAAAAGTATCTCTGGGCAATGCCAAATGTCTCCGAATGGGAAAAAATCAACTCAGGTTGAGAACCACCAGCGTAGGCTAAGAGTTCCCAATTGTTCCAACTTCACCCCTTACTATCTACTGAACCATCAGAAAAAGCTCTTATATACGAGACCATTATGGAACAGATTTTCAAGAAAACTGGCCAAAGAAACACCACTTATGAACCCAGTTCAGTGCTGTGTCAAAACCCGTATCAACAGACACACACACACAATCTAAATTATTGACCACCTGGCCCTTTACTCAAAGTTTGCTGACCTCTGGCCTAAAGGAAGAGAGATCGCTTGGAGATGGCCAAAACCAGAATGTCACACGGGAATGTTTACCACGTCCTGTCCCCAAACAGAATATTGGAGGGAAATTAAGCTTTGGAGGAATAGGAGGGAGAAAGTATATTCCACTCTAACCACTGTTTTCTCTCCTCTACACATAAGAGGTATCGAGCTTTCTCACCTTTGCTCAGGTAATTCCTCTATGAAGTTTATCTTCGTAATCCCTTAACCAAATGAGACCATAGGTAACTCCTACCCATCCATCACCAATACCTTTCTGGTTGCTCTAGGCTGCAACCATCAATTTAAGAGTTGATTAGATATTACTATTCCTATAAAATATTACTCTCTCAACGGTACTATACATTTCCTAAGCATGTAGATACCTCTGCTATCTACGACAGCACCTATCATTTCTCAGAATCTACTGACATAAATGATGGCATTAAACACCATTTCATGGCAAACACCATCTGTTTCCTTCTATTTTCACAGCAGCCCCACCAGGCAGATAATGGTAAAACCAAATGGATGAAGAAACCAGGATTTAGGTAAGTTCTGTAACTCACCCAGGCTCCCAGCTGGTAGGTAAGAGCCGGAATTACAATACAGCTCTGATTTGACTAAGTGTATATAATTCCCTGCACCAAGATAAGAAGCTTTGCTTAATTCATTTTGATAATACTTTATCAGAAGATTTCTAAATGTATATATAAAAGTCAAGTGGAAAAGACTGAAAGTGGGGTGCCTGGATGGCTCAGTGTGTTAAAGCCTCTGCCTTCGGCTCAGGTCTTGATCTCAGGGTTCTGGGATCGAGCCCCGCATCGGGCTCTCTGCGTACTTGTGATCTCTGTCAAATAAATAAATAAAATCTTAAAAAAAATTTAAAAAAAGTAAAAGACAAACTAAAGACGGAAAGTATCCTGTCTGGACAGACATGGATTAGTAGATGAAGAATTATTTACTGAATTCTGCTTTTAAAGTAGGAATATGTTCTAGACATTTGGCTAACCTGGTTCCACAGGACACGTCCCAACACGTTTCCCTTCAAGACATCACACACTAAGGATAAGCAGCTCTGAGCTCCTGACAACTTTCAAAAGTCACCCAACCTCCTGCACGCCCAAACCAAAACCAAAACTTACACACATTTACACACACACACACACACATACACATCCTCTTCAGAAGGCATGTTCAATTCATAATCCTTAACCAGAATTTAACATGAGTAACAAAGGAGGGTTAAAAAAAAAAAAGTTTAGTACCAATTCTTTCCCCTATCAATTTTAATTACATATTGAATGGCTTGCTGCACGTCTGATCTTGAGGGAAGGAAAGATGAGTCTATGCCTCCTGATTTATGGCTCATCATGCAACTTACTCATTCTACCCTCGAGGCAGCCACAACAGCACGAACAGGCTTAGCCAGCTTTACAGTGAGAAATGCCATGAGGAAATGAGAAAGGGTAAAGCCAGACATGGTGGGAACAACACTAACATCTGAAGCTACAATTGAGCAAAGTGCCACATTTATACCAAACTTAGAAGTCCAGACTTTGCCATTATTTGAATAGGAGGAACATTTCCT